CAGTGAAAAATCTAGTGTAATTCTAGTAGGCCTGCCTTTATATTTTACTTGGCCTTCTTCCCTTGCCATTTTTAATATTTTCTTTGTTCTGTACTTTTCGTGTTTTGAGTAGTATGTACCAGGTTTTGGGGTGGGGGATACTTTCTTTTCTGGTTCAATTTATTTGGTTTTCTGTAAGCTTCTTATACCTTTATAGACATATGCTTCTTAAGGTTTAGAAATTTTTCTTCTATGATTAAAATACTTTATGGGCCTTTGAGCTGGGATTCTTCTCCTTTCACTCCTATTCCTCTTATATTTTTGGTTGTGAGCCTAGCCTTTAACAGCTGAGCCATCTCTCCAGCCCACTACTATTATTCTTGGGGTCTTTTCATAGTGTCCCATGTTTACAGTATGTTTTGTGTAAGGAATTTTTTAATTTATTATTTTCTTTGACCGATGCATCAATTTCTTCTATTGTATATCCTATGCCTGAGATTCTCATTTCCATCTCTTATATTCTGTTGGTGATGTTTGCATATGAAATTCCTGTTTGCTTATCTAGATTTTCTATCTCCAAGATTACCTCGGTTTGTATTTTCTTTATTGCCTCCATTTCCATTTTCAGGTCTTGAACAATTTTATTCATTTCTCTTACCTATTTGTTTCTTTTTCCTTGGCTTCTTTATGGGATTTATTCATTTCCACCAATTGTTTGTATTTTCCTAGATTTCTTTAAAATGTTGGGTTTAAGGTAATTTTCTTGTGCTTCAGCTGTATTGGAATATTCAGGGTTTACTGTTATAGAATAGCTGCAGAAATATGGTGATGCCATATTTCCCTGGTTTTTATGAGTGTGTTCTTTTGTTGGGTGGCCTCCAGGTATATGGGTTTGGGGGAAGTATAGGTTTAAGTGATGGTTTCTGAGTTTGTCTTTGTTGGATCAGTATTTTTTCCCTAGGTTTTTGTTTCCTCTCTAGTATTTGGGACTGAAAGGCCTGTCATTCTGGTGACAGGTGAGTCCTGTATCCTAGCATGTTGCCTCTGCTGAGGTTTTGGGTACCTATGTGGCCTCTAGGGTTCTGGGAACTGGCATAGCCTCTACCAGAGCCTTGAGTTGGGATTCTGAGTACATTCAAGGCCTCTAATAGTGCAGGAGGCTTCTGCCAGAGTTGTCATTCAGGAGCTGGTGACAAGGATGAGGAAGGAGACTGTTGGGGGAAGGCTGCACTGGCTCTGAAGAACTGTTGTGGTCTTCCAGTAGGAGTTTACCTGGGTTCTGGATATGGAAGTGGCCTCTGGTAGAGTAGTGGACTTCTGACAGAGTTGTGGGCTGAGATAGCTTGTGGGGTGGGATATTTTGGGGGAAAGCTGGTTGTGCTCTAAGGACTGTTGGCAGTCTGTGGGCAAGGGTCTTAAATGATGTTCTGGGTGCCTGTATGTCCTCTGATACAACAAGGGGCTACCACATAGTTGGGGCCATGATATGGTAACAAGGGGAGGGGGCTGTTGTGGGAAAGCTGGGTGAGTGCTGAGGATGAATGTCTGTGGGTGGGGTCTTACTTGGGATTCCAGGGTGGAGCTTGATTGGGGTTCCAAATACAGGCAGGGACTCTGGTAGAGCTGGGAACTTCTGCCAGAATTGTGCACTAGGATATCCAAAGGTATAAATTTCAACATTTGTTTTATGAATGAATGCAAATGACTTCTTGTCTTAGTTAGGGTTTCTATTGCTATGAAGAGATATCATGATCATGGCAGCTCTTATAAGGAAAACATTTAATTGGGTCCAGCTTACAATTTCAGAGTTTTAGTCCATTATCATTAAGGCAGCAAGCAGGGAAGCATGCAGGCAGACATGGTGTTGTTGAAGAACCTAAGAGTTCTACATCTTGATCAGCAGGCAGTTAAGTAAAGACTATGTATCACACTGGATATAGTTTGGGCATATAAAACCTCAAATCCCACTTTTGTCCAACAGGGCCACACTTTCTAATAGTACCACTCCCTATGGGCCAAGATTTCAAACACATGAATTTATGGGGGACATAGCTATTCAAACTAACATACCTCTCCCCACAAACATTTTCATTTACCTTTTCCTATTTGTAGTCCTGGGAATCTCAGGGCCTTTCATGTATTAGGCAAGTGAAGTACTGCTGAGCCACCTTCCCAGCCCTCTTCCTTTTTATTCTGAGGCAGAATCTTGATAAGTTTCAAACTGAAAATAAATTTACCCTGTAGCCAAGGAAAGCACGGAATTTGGAATTTTCCTATCTGAGTCTCTAGGTTGATGGAGAAGTCCTGTGTATATGTAAATAAAGCATTGTTGGCCAACAGGGAAGCAAAATAGGTGGGACTAGGAATCTAGAATTCTGGGAAATGTAGTGAAGGAAGCAGTCACCACGCAATTCCTGGGAAGAGGGGACGCAAGTCTGCATTCTCCAAAAGATAATTTTTTAGATTTATTTATGTATTTATTATGTATCTAGTGACTGTATGTCCACAGGCCAGAAGAGGGTGCCAGATCTCATTACAGATGGTTGAGAGCCACCATGTGGTTGCTGGGAATTGAACTCAGATCCTCCAGAAGAGGAGTCAATGCTTTTAACCTCTGAGCCATCTCTCCAGCCCAAAAGATAAGTCTTTATAAAAATATATATTGGAGCCGGGCGTTGGTGGTGCATGCCTTTAATCCCAGCACTTGGGAGGCAGAGGCAGGCAGATCTATGTGTGTTCAAAGCCAGCCTGATCTCTAGAGTGTGTTCCAGGACAGGCTCCAAAACAACACAGATAAACCCTGTCTCGGAAAAAAAAAATGGTGATTATAGGTCAATAATTAAGTGAGAGCTAGCCTATAAGAAACACTAGCAAATGGCCAACAGCTTCATAATTTAGTGTCTTATGTGTTATTTGGGGGTTCAAACAGCTCGGCAGGGCCCAGGCGGATGGCAGGAAAGAAAACACATTACATATCATTGTCAGGAGTGGGATCATGAATTTCCACGTAGAACGACAAAGGCTTAAAAGGGATTTTAGGAACAAAAGAACAGAGAGTGGCATGACTTCTTGGTAGCAGCATTTTCTCAAATGGGCTCTGTTTTGCTAGAGACAAGCAGAGACTTCCATGGCCAGTGCGGTAAACTTACGCCTTCCATCTTGGAAAAACCGCAGTTAAAACAGCCGCAGTTTTGATTAGCAATGTTGTTTAGCAGATAACAGACACATGGCCAGAAAAACATAAAGATTTACAGTAAAGTCAGATTCAGATGAAGAAAAAACTCTAAAGGTTTACAGTGTGATTAAGAATATATGTAGGCTTGAGAGAAAAAAAGAAACAGGATAGTGATAAAATAGAGAAACTGTTTGTGGTGGTGCATGCTGGTAGGATTTGCTCCAGAGGCAGAGGCAGGTGGATTTCCAGAGAAACCCTCTCTCAGAGAAATAATAAATAAAAGTAAAAGAAATAGAGTAATAATAATAGATAAATAAATAAGCCATGTAAAGATGGAAAATACACAGAGTCTGGACACTGTATGCTATTGTGTATTTCAGTTTTTTGATTGCTAAAGAAGGAACAACTGCTAAAATATACTTGATTACAAATGCTACTAAATTAATCCAATTTATATATTTTGAAAATGCTTTGACTTCTAAATTGAAATGTAAGGACAGGTTATTTGGAAAAAGTTTTTGTTTATGTTCCCACAGAAAATGGAAAGCTGTGGATTCCTTCCAGGCTTCTGTGGTTTGATGAAGCAAGGACCCCAGAAGCAATATCCAGGAAGTCCAGCATCTGAAACAGCTGGGACGATACAGATCACAAAAACAAGGACTTATACTTGTTATTCTGAGTTTTGTCATGATCCCCATGGCATGAATAGCGCCCCCACCCACCAGGAAGCAGTTTTGAATGGGCAACATCCAAATTCCCAAATATTGTTTAAATGTTTGTTTTCATTTATACAGGGTTGGTTATAAATGATAATGATCACAGTCAATCTCTTTCTAAAGGGAAAATGATATAGAAAGAATACTTTGTCTTAGAATGGATTGATTTATTGATACAAATTCAAGGTCAATTTTGTGATGTGTATATTTCTCTTCTTGTTTAAGTGTTGTGTTTATACTGATCTTTTAAAATGCAATGCATAATTAAATACAGATTGTAGATACTTATAATAGGCAGAATTTATAGTTAGGTTAGTTAGGTTTTCTAGATATAGAAATATATTTGAGATAGACAGACAGTCTTCAAACCTTTCAAAGACCTTCAGAAAATGGCATTTAAAATGGTTTAGAGTTTTTCTTGACAATGAGAAATGTCTGCTCCTGGCAGCATCAATTACATCTGAGAGGAAGATGGGCATCGAAGAAACTTGTTATGGAGTTTGCTTTCAACATGGCAAGATTAGCCATTTGGGCAAGAAATGCTCTTTCCTAGACTGTTTGACTGTTGCTGTATAATCTGGACATGTAGGACCCACAGAAAGGTGACTACTGAATTTGGACAGTCCTAAAGGGTTCCTGCTTAATGGAAGAGTCAGCCGGACTTTCTGGAGGACACAGAAAAATGACTGACAGACTGCCAATGCAAACGGACAGTTTGAAATTTCCGGCTTTGCTGAGAAGTCTTCCAGACACACTGGGGCCTATGGGCTGAAGATGGATGCCCCAATGCTACAGATGAACTTTTGGTGACTGTCCAGGTAGCAAGATGTCTCTGTCAATTCTAGTGTTTATATATTATCCTTATTATCCTTCTGTGGTCTGTGATGGAATTGAAGACAGATAGTTGTAGTTATAGTTTCCTTTAGTTATGATAAAAGATAAGTTACATATAAGACTTTAGACTCACCAAGATAGGATCGATAATATTTTCTTTAAATCTTACTAAATGTTAATGGACAAAATATTGTAACCATAGTTCTTGCTTGATAACTGTTCTGTCACATATAATTTGACTATGTTAAAGTTAAAACCTTTCTTTTTATTTAGACAGAAAAGAGGAGATGGGGGAGTTATGTGTATATGTAAATAAAGTACTGTTTGCCAGTAGGGAAGCAAGATAGGTGGGACTAGGAGTCTAGGATGATTCTGGGAAATGTAGTGAAGGAAGTGGTCACCATGTGATTCCAAGGAAGAAGGGAAGCAAGTCTGCATTCTCGAAAAGATAAGTCCTTATAAAAATATATATTGGCAATTATGGGTCAATAATTAAGTCAAAGTTAGCCAATGAGAAACAATAGATGGCCAACAGCTTCATAATTAATAGAGTGTCTTGTGTGTTATTTGGAGGTTCAGACAGCTCAGCAGGGCCCAGGCAGCTGGCGGGAAAGACAACACATTACACCAGGTAATGATGATTACAGACTGGCACTGAAATATTTAACATTCTAACAACTCTAATAGCAAGAAATTTGTTTGCCAAGTTAACTGATTTGGGTTAACTTACATAAAAAATAATCTATGACAGGATTGGGCATTTGACATCATGCCATAGCTAAAATACCAAGTTCAGAAACTGAGTCACAACTCAAAGAAACCATGGCAGCAGAACCCCTGCTAAGTTTGCCTAGGGAAAGCTTCATTTGTTAAGCACCAAAGACGGGAAAATGAGCACCAAACTCTTCTTCATATCATGATAAAAATCTCAGGGTGTGTTCATCTTGACATCTCCACACTAGCCAGTGAGCTCCTGAGTGTTGTGGGATATCCAGGAAAGAAGAGTGTTAAGACAGATTTGAGTCAATAGGAAGTCTTCATTGGCCAGCCAGGGACTATACTAGGTGTTCAGGATCCCAGTGTAGACCAAAACTTTCCTCAGGGTGAGCTTTTAAGCACCAAAACCATATTCTGAGTTGTCATACTTCAGCTAACAAGAACAGTTAGCCATAAACAGAACAGCAGAAGCCAAAAAAGCAATGTTAGTACATGTAGATACTTTCCCAGAAGTATGATCTTTAATAGATTAGGTCTTTATTTTTATTTTTGGTAGGTGGTAATGCCTATGTGCTCAATTTTATGACTTGGTTGGTACTTCCATCATGGAATCCATTGTGCAAAAGTCTGGGACCCTGTTCTACTAGAAGACAGGTATCTAGGATTTATGTTCCTAATTATTTGATGTAGAACTTCTCACTGGCATTCACAAAATGATAACTCCCTAAATGGGGCATGATAGTTCAACTTCTCACTGAAAACACTGTTCTGGGATGGAAATAAAGCTTACTGGTTAAGAGTCGATGCCACTCTTTCAGAGGACAGGAATTGAATTCCTAACACCCATCTTGGGTTGCTCACAAAGGCCTCCAACTCCAGCTCCAAATGATCCGACATCTCCAGCCTCCTTGGGTACCTGTACTTTTAGCCACATACATACGCACCAGATACAGGCTCACTTACTTACACATATACACACACACTTGAAAATAAAATGTTTAAAAACCATTTTTGAAAAAGTCAAATACAGTTACAATACAGAGCAATTCAAAAGTACTAATGAGGCAAAGTATATGCATTTAATATGTTTCTAACATAGAAAATGTGAAATTTACCAGAAAGACATCTCCAAATCATACAATAACTAATTACCATAACTGGTCACACCAAAGCATTTAAGTTTACCTTTATTTACATTTGGAACAAGATAATAATTTGTTGTGGAAACAGAGTAAAATGCTATGTCTCAGTTATAACCAAAAGAAAATGTCTCCAGGGCTTGAGGGGATGGGTCAGTGAGTAACATGCATGCCATGCAAGCATGAGGACTGCAGTTCAGATCTCCAGAACCTATGTCAAAAACCCTGGTGTGGTGGTATGCATTTGTAATCCCAGCACTGAGGAACCAGAAACAAGAGCATCACTGGGACTCTCTGGTCAACCAGTCTAGCTTAATTGATGAGATGAAGAACAGTGAGAAACCCAGTCTCAAAAATTAAGGTAGAGAGTAACTGAGGAAAACACCATATATGGCAGTCTCTAAACTACACACACACACACACACACACACACACACACACACACACACACACACACACACACACACACAGATACACACACACATACACACTAACAGTCTACAGACTTTGTAAAATCTCCTTTGGAGGAAAGAACACAAGTGACCCCTGTTTGAATTGTCCCACATGATTAATTCATAAAAATCAGTTATTTTCAGGAAGCCCATGAATGGATTACGTCCCTTAGAAGAGAACACCAGAAATTCCCTCTGTTTACACTTCTGGGGAAGGCTATAGCACAAAGGTATCATGAATGAACCAGAAATCAGGCCTCACCAGATGCCAAATGTGCAGTGTTCTAGCCCTCAACTAAGTATGTAAAATAAATTTTTCCTATTTGTAAAAACAAAAATCAGGGGGCTGGAGAGATGGCTCAGAGGTTAAGTGCACCGGCTGCTCTTCCAGAGGACCTGAGTTCAATTCCCAGCAACCACATGGTGGCTTACAGCCATCTGTAATGAGATTGGTGCTCTCTTCTGGCCTGTGGACATGCATGCAGACAGAACACTGTATGCATAATAAATAAATAAATCTTTTAAAAAATCAGTTATTTTCTTACATTAGAAAGTGATCAAGTGAAAAATGGTGTTATGTGGGAAGTCCTTCTGTGTTTATGTTTGTCTAATTGGCTGAAAATAAAGCACTGTAGGCCATTAGGGCAGCAAGATAGGTAAGACTAGGAGTTGACAAGGATTCTGGGAAATGTAGTCAAGACTGGAGACTCACCATGTGATACTGGGAAGAGAAGATGCATGAGGCTAAGTCCTTGGTAAAGTAAGTCCTTATAGAAATATATATTAGCAATTATGGGTTAATAATTAAGTCAGAGCTATCCATTAAGAAACCATAGGAAATGGCCAACAGCTTCGTAATTAATAGAGTGTCTCATGTGTTATTTGGGAGCAGAGACAGGGGTGGAACCCAGGCAACTGGCAGGAAAGAGTACATGTAATCATAATGAAAAATTGTTTTGTTGATATTTTAATCATATCAAAAGTAATATTAAATCTGGGATAGCTTTGTATAAGGTTGATTCATTATAAGATCATGATTAGTATAAAGCACTAACTTCTATCTTACCTGTGGTGATATTTTGTTAATGATCTAGCAAATTTTGCCTGAAGATCAGAGTGCGAAACTAGCCACACTAGTTAGCCATAGAGGTCAGAGAGTAGTGACACACACCTTTAATCCCACCACTCAGGAGACAGAGGCAGATGGATCTATGTTAGTTCAAGTCCACCCTGGGCTACTGGAAATTGATCCAGACCAAAAGATAAGGTGATCTGGGCCCTTGAAATCACACTCATTTAATCCCAGCACTAAGGAGGTGGACACAGGAGGGCATATGGCTGGGTGCAGAGAGGAATATAAGGTATGAGGAGACAGGAACTTATTGCAGTCTAGGCAGTCAGTCTAAGCATTCAGTCTGAGGATTCATAGAAACATGATCACCCTTTCAGTCAGAGGTAGAGGTAAGGGCTAGTGGCTGACTGTTTTGCTTCTTTGATCTTCAGGCATGCTTTATTTGTTAGATCATAAGCAAAATATCACCACACTTACCATATAGGAATGCTCAGTTATGAATTTTTTAAATTTTTCTGTAATTGTCTCAAGGTTTTTAGGTAGGTGATCACATTATCTTTAGCAGGTAAAGATGTGATATTTTCATTTCTTTAAACAAATGTGTGTGAGTGTGCGTGCATGCGAACACACTCACACGCACACATACTCATGCCATGGTGTGCATCTCAAGCTCAGAAGACAACTTGTTGGATTTGGATCTCTTCTTCCACCACGAGGGTACTGGGACTCAAATTCAGTTCTTCAGGCTTGGTGGTGGCACCTTCACTTGAAGAGCCATTTCTAGGCACTATGATACTTCTAAAATTTTTTGTCTCATGTTTGGACCTTTGGGGTCCTTCCCCCATTCCTGATTTTTTTTTCTGTGTTTGTAATTTTTTTTTTTTTTGGTTTTTTCAAGACACGGTTTCTTTGTATTGTTTTGGAGGCTATTCCGGAACTCGCTCTGTAGACCAGGCTGGCCTCGAACTCACTGCCTGCCTCTGCCTCCGGAGTGCTGGGATTAAAGGCGTGTGCCACCAACGCCCGGCTGTTTTTGTCATTTTTACACTCAATTTCCACGTTATTCTTTATCCTAACCATTATAATTTGCATACCTAATTACAACTTTTAGTTAATTTAATTACCCATCTCTGAGGTAAAAATATCAGGATATACTTTCTCTTAGACACATCTCACATTTAATGCTTTCTTTTATTTATACCTTCTTTATTTTTAAGGCTTCCTAGTCATTTCTTATTGTTTAATGGCTACTCAAATTATTACCAATATTGGAAAAGGATGGAGCAGGTAGAGGGCAGATCACTGGTGGGGGGGAGTGATTAAGGACACCTTGGTGATAAAAGCCACTAAGAATCCCCTATGGTGAACTGGCTGCCCCCCACTGCCTTGGAGACCAAACAAAAGGAAGACAAAGAGCAACCTCTGCATTCCCAATCTCAGATATGCATTAGAAATACAAAAACTCTCTATGACTGCCTGCACGGAATCTGCTAGCAGCAGGTCAGTCAGAGACATGAGCCTTCTAGGTCCTGCACACTTAATTAGAGAAGACAGGAAATTACGGCCAACTGAGGCAGAAGCAGATGGCTCATTGCATTGGTGGAGTGATTGATTGCAGGCTGTGGGTGTGAACACTCACCTGGTGATGCTATGAGAAGTCTAACAGAAGGGCGTGCCTTTAAAGCATCACATGGTATACAGAACCAGGGCCAGAATTCACACTGTCAAGTTCAAAAGGTGGAGGGCTGGCCCTTCTTGCTTACCAAACCTGTTAGATAAAATGACAAGGAAGCGGTGTTGGCTGGTTTTAACTGTCAGTTTGATATAACTTAGAATCACGTGGGGAAGAAAGTGTGTTCCTCAGGAACTGTCTAAGTCAGGTTGTCCCATGGGCATGTTTGTCCTTGTAGCTTTAACTGATGTGGGAAAACCTAGCCTGAAAGAAGGTGGCACTCTTCCTTGGGTTTGGGGTCTGATTTGTACAGAGCAAAGAAAACTAGTTTAGGACTACACACTAACTCATTGATTCTCTCTCTGAATGTAATGTGCCCATGAGCTTGAAGTTTCCCCTTCGATTTTCCCGAAATAAAGGGCAGTACCCAGGAACTGGCCGTTAAAGTAAACCTTTTCTTTCTTAAATTGCTTTTGGTCAGAGCATCCTGTTTATTATTGTTGTTTTTCAGTAGACAGGGTTTTTCCCCCTACCTGGAACTTGCAGGGCAGGTTAGGCTAGTTGGCTGTCAAGCCCCAGGGATTCACTAGTCTCTGGGGCCTAGCACTAGTGGTCCTGCCCCCTCCACGCCACCCCCCTCGACACACTTGTTTTTACTTTCTTGGGTTTTGTTTTTGTTTTTGTTTGTTTTTTTAATGTATTAACATTGGTTCTGGCTATCAAACTCAGATACTCTTGTGTCTGCCACAATAACTATATAAAATTATAAAATGAGCCATTTCCCCTTCTTTGGTGGTTTGAATGAGGAGCACTCTTCACAGGCTCGGGCATTTGAACACTCACCCTCCAATTTGATGTACTGTTTGAGGCAAGGTAAGAAGTCCTGCCTTGCTGGAGTGAATGTGTCACTGAGGGTGAGCTTGGAAGCTGTACTTCCTCTTTGCTCTCTCTGATTCTTGGCTTGTGTTTGAGGATTTGATCTCTCAGCTTCCTGAATGCCCCCTGATTTATCTTCTGAGTATGATGAACTTGTCATCCTCTGGATCCATAAGACAAACAAAACTCTTCTTTTTTTCACCTTAAGTTGCCATAGTCATGGTGTTTTCTCATAGCAACAGAAAAGTAACTAGTACACGTTTCCTATTCTTTTCTTTTCTTCTTGAAAGAACTTCTAAGGATCACAACTTGAACACATTATAAGTCTCTCACCTTCCTATTCTGAAAATGCTTGATAATATGATTCAGTCCATTTGATGCTTTTTGTTCAAGCTTTTATCTTTGGTAGACATGAATCTATGAAAAACTTGTCATGTGATCTTTCTAATAAGATCAATTGCTTTGAAGTTTAATTAGTGAGAAACAGTATGGGTTGGGGGCAATGTACTTTCGGTGCCTTCCTTTCCTCTCTCTTGGTCACTTGGTCTGGACAAAAAAAAAAAGTTTTCCACAGAGATTTTTATACGTGATTTTACTTCTACTTCAAGAAAGCTGTCAATCTTTGTTCAAAACTCACCCTCACAGATGTGAAGGCTTTTCAGATAAAAGATGCATGACCTAAATGGAATTAAATAACTAAATACTGTTATTAAAGATTACTTTCTTTAATGATATAAAAGAGCCAAAACAATAAAACCATAAAAAAATTCTATAAAGAAGTCTGCCTATCATAAAACCCATCTATTTCCACCTTTGCAGATTTTTTTTCCTCTTTTTTTTTCTACCCCTTCTTGGTCCCAAGAGTACCAAACATTCCCATTAAAGTTACCTGTTCTGACATATGTTTGTCATGCTAAGACTTAGGAGGTGGAGGCAGGAAGAAAAAATTCAAGGTCAGTTTCAGCTACATAGTGAATCCAGCCTGCACTGTGTAAGACCCTGACTCACAAACAAGCAAAATAACTGCCATGGAATAATCCTATTGTAAACTGTAAACTGGTTTAATACAATTCTGATTGCAAGTAACCAGGCAGGAAGTATAACATGGTGACCAAACTGAAGATAATGGGAAGGAGAATGGCAAAGTCTAGAGAAGACAGCTAGACACAGAGGGAGAAGAAGATGAAAGCACCATGTAAAAACAGATATCACCACATAGAGAGTAAATAAGGAATATGGGCTAACTTAAAATGTGAAAGCTGAACAATTGAGTATTTATAATAACACTATGTCTATGTGTGGCAATTTGGAAGCAGCTGCTGGGTAGGGCAGTTGGGAGAAAAATGTCCATTTACAACAGGACATAATCATATATGTCAGTCTAGGAAGGCAAATACCAGGACTGACATCATGGCTCAGTGCTTAAGGGCACTTGCTGCTCTTCCAAAGGACAGATTTGGTTCTCAGCACCCACATGGCAACTCACAACCCTCTTATAATTATATTTCCAAGGAATTAACATCTTCTCCTGGCCTCCATGGTCACTTGCACACATGGTGCACAGACATACTCAAACACACACACACACACACACACACACACACAAATAATCTTTTTAAAAAATGAAATAAAATTGTCTTGAGGAACAAGTGCTGTGGGAGAAGGGTAAGAAAATGGAAGGTAGAGGAAAATGGAAAGGATATGTTAAATACACACACTATACTTGCATAAAAATGAATAAAATGGGGAAGATAAAGATTTGTTCTTCACTATTTTGGGAAATATTATCTCTAGATGCTGGCTTTTAGCATAGGAGTCCTTGCTGCTATAACCCATGGTATAAGGTGACAGGGTAAAAGAAGAGAGAAATTGACTTGATAAGCTGAAGACATCCATGCATCTGGAATTCTCATGACCTAAACAATACCCATCAGACCCCTCTTCCCAGCTATGTCCATCAGGTCCATCCTCCCACCCATGTCTTTGGGCCCCTCTCACAATCTGATACATGAGCCCACCCCTCCCTCAACTTTGTCTATGGGGTCCCTGTCTTAATTAGGGTTTCTATTGCTGTGGAGAGACACCATGACCATTGCAAAACTTATAGAGAAAATATTTTATTGGAGTGGCTCACTTACATCTTCAGAAGTTCATTCCATTATCATCATGGTAGGTAGACATGGTGCTGGCTCCATCTTGATCAGAAAGCAACAGGAAGTAGACTGAATCACTGGGCATGGCTTGCACATATATGAGACTTCAACGCCTGCCTCAACAGTGATACGTTTCCTCCAACAAGACCACACCTACACCAGCAAATTCATACCTGCTAATAGCGTCACTCCCTGTTAGATTATGGGAGCCAATTACATTCAAACTCTCACCACCCCTCTCCCCAGTTGTGTCCATGTGGCTCCCTCTTTTCATCTTTGTCCTTGGGACTACTTCTCCTGACTATATCCATGAAATCATTCCTCCTAACCTTGTTTATGAAGTCTCTCCTCCCAACTCCGTCCACAAGGCTGCTCCAGACAACTCTGAACAACTTTGTCCTTCAGGACCTTCCCCAACTCTTTTATGACCATCCTTCCAACTCTACCATGAGTCCTTCCCTTCAAACTCTGTCTTTATACCCCTCCTGCCAACTCTGTTGCATGGAAGACTGAGTTTCCCTGTTTGGCTTTCATTACGTATATGAAGCTTCCTGCTTCCTGTTGGGTGAAGCTCTTCCAACTCTAGTTCTTAGCACTGCCTGAAAAATGGACCAGTCTTTGTTCAAATAAGAATCATTGTTCTCACTCATTAAAGCCAGTGAGATGACTCAGTGAATATGTAAAGGTGTGTGCCAACAAGCCTGACAACTAGGAATCCATCCCTGGGAATCTCATGATGAAAGAAATAACCAATTTCTAAAAGTTGTCTCATGACCCACATAAATGTGCCCCTGCATGTCTACACACTTGTAAACACACACATTTGTAAAAATAAATACAGTCATTTGATATATCTTAGGTTGCTATTTTGTGCATGCACACATGTGTATGTCAAAATGCTCATGTGGAGGTAAGAGGAAAACTCTCCATTGTCAGTCCTCTGCTTCCACAAAGTGGATCCCAGGAATCAAACCCAGGTCATCAGGCTTGGCAGCAAGCATCGATAATCACTCCTTAAATCATCTCATTGGCCTAAAGTTATTTTCATAACTAGTCAGTGTGCAATGTCTAGACAGTCTTCTTGTCAAGATTCAGTATAACCACTGGGTAGAATTGGCTAAAGTCTTTATTGTGCTTACAGGACAACTTGGGTTTTCCCATTACTAGGTTGTGCTCTCTTTGCTTTGACCCCTACCTGTGAAACTGAGAGCTGTCCACTTAATCCTATGAACTCTGACCTCTGCTTTGGAGTCACTCTCCTGAAGAGCCACTTGCAGCCTCCATGCTTTTCCAAGCTTTACTGATGATTCCAGTCTTTTGCACCTGCAATTATTTAATAAACACACTCTACCTGAATGATAAGATGTTGACAGTGAATAAACACAGATAAGATTTTTCTCTCCAACTTGAAAGCTTCACATGCTTAAATTTGAAAACAGGTATAGGACATGCCATACATATATATTTAAGAATAAGAAAAAAGACAGGGCCAGTGATGTAGCTCAGTTGGTAGCTAGCTTGCCTGTCACATACAGGATCCAGGGTATAATTCCGAGCACTGTGTACAACAGGATAGTAGTCCATATCTGTAATCCCAGCATCTGGGATGTAGAAGCAGGAGGATAAGATATTTAAATTTATTATCATCAGCTACATAGACAGTTCAAGGCCAGCCTGTGCTATGTAAGTCCCTATCTCCAAATAAATAAAAGACCAAACATCTGGCAAAATGTCTCAGAGAGTAAAGGAACTTGTCACGAAGCCTGACCGTCTGAGTTTGATTCTCCAGGATGGTGGAGGGAGAAAGCCAACTGCTTGAAGTTGTGGTCTGACTTCCACATATGTGCTGCGGGTAACGTTTTTTACTGTCCTCCCATAGTAAAACGTCCTTACAAATTAAAAATTAAGAAAAAAGGAAGTCATGCCATTTGCAGGGAAAGTGGACCAATCTGGATGTCATCACATCAAGCAAAGTCTCCAGATCTGCATCTTTCCACTGATTCACAAACATATATTAAAAGTATGTGAGGGGAACACTGAAAGGGGGGTAGTTAGAGGAGGATGAGGGGAAGAGAGGGCAATGTCAGGTGAGACAAATATAGCATGCCTTCCACGTGTGTAGAATCTACACACATGCACACACACAAATATTAAAGCAGTCAGGACTGTTTGCTGACAGGGTCAGAGGGCCAGTTGCGGGGAGGGGAGCCTGAAGGGGATAAAGTCGAGGTGCATGTAAACAGAGTACCTGGTATATGTGTATGCAAATGCCATAGTGAATTCCATTATTTAGTACACTGAAAGGCTAAAGAGACAGGAGGGGCTGCTGGAATGACCCAGCATTTTAGAGCACTAGGTGCTCTTGTGGAATATTTGGATTTAGTTCCTAGCACCCACCTAGTGGTCCCACAATAGTCTCTGTGTCACCTCCTCAGGCACCAGGTATACACGTGGAGCAACAGATATACACGCAGACAAAAGACCCATACGCATAAAATAAATCGTAGAAGAAAACTAACATTTTAAGTGAAAGGTGGCGGGGGAGACAACTGGGGACTGGAGTTTGGATTCCTAGAAACCCACACAAATGCCAAGGGGGCATGGCAGCCTGCCTATCGCTGCAGCCTCAAATGACACAGACAAGGCAAACTCGCTGTTGAGACTGGTTGTGTCTGTGAGCCCTGGCTTTGCCTGAGAGATCCTTCCTCAGTGAATAAGGTAGGTTGATAGAGGACAGTTCCTGCCATCAGCCTCCAGCCCCTGCATGCATCTATATTCATGCAAAATCGTGCGCCACGCATGCGTAAAAATGTAAGAAGGCTAAAACCAAGAAGGAAGGGAACCATGAGGAAGAAACAGGGAGAAAAGGCAGCAAAAGAGGGCAACAAGGTGGTGAATATGAGCAAAACACTCAGACAGAAACATCAGGTAAGGCTCTTAGGTTCTATGTGAATTCTAATTTTCCAAAGCAGAGGACAAACACAGCTGCCCCCATGACTTCCTGATAGGAGTAAAGGCCACATGTCTCAGGAATTATGTTCCCTTATCCCACAGGCTAAAGCAAGTGCCAGACTAATCTCTACAAAACCTGTTTGACATCCATCCATTCCTCCATTTCCTCATTTAACAAACATCTTCCTTACCCCTGCTCTGAGCTAAACCTGCATTTGGGTGATACTGAGGACCAGATAGGCAGTTACCTCAAACGGTGCTCACAGGCAGACCCAGTCCCAACAGAACACAGCTGAATTCAGCATCTCCAGTCACCTATGTATGGCGACTAACAAAAGTACTTTTAAATCACATGTGATTTCCTATGTAGAGTCAAAATGTGCCAGCATCGGTCCCCAGCACTAGCATATTTCCACAGACATAGCACACCTCCAAAAGAGGAACATAGCATTTAGTGACAAAGGGGCCTGGGCTAAAGTCTCTGGCTTACCTTCTGAGTCTGTTCCTTTAAGAACCTCAAGTCCTACCTGGGGTTTTAGCTCATTGACACAATGCTTGTCTCTGCATACATGAGACCCTGATACCCATCTCTACCATGACAGAATCTAGGTTCCTATCTTTCCATGAAGACTACTACCTATGGCTAACAATAAGGTGTGTGTTAAATGATGTACTCTCTAGCAATGGTCCTGAACCTTCCTAATGCTATGACCTTTTAGTACAGTTCCTTATGCTGTAGTGACCCCTAACCATAAAATCACTTCCCTTTCTCCTTCAAACTAAGTTTGCTACTGTTACAAATTGTAATGTAGATATCTTATATGCAGGGTGGTCTTAGGTGATTGCTGCAAAAGGGGCATTTGACCCTCAAGGGGTCTAGACCCACATGTTGAGAAACCCTGCTCTATAGAGAATACTAAACCTGTTTGACATCCATCCATTCCTCCATTTCCTCATTTAACAAACATCTTCCTGAGGCCTGCTCTGAGCCAAACCTGCATTTGGGTGATACTGTGGACCAAGAGGTGACTCAGAGATAGACTGGGACCTCAAACGGTGCTCAGAGTCAGTCAGCTCACAGGAAGTGTTCACATCTTGCAACAAAGAGTGTGTGTAGAATATATTTAATCATTAGTCATATATATTTATGACAAAGTTTAACTAACCGTTTAGGTACAGTAAGAAAGAAAAACCTAGGCAGCTGAAGCAGGAGAACTGTGGTAAGTTGAGGTCAACGTAGACAATGTAGTGAGACTCTATCTTAAAATAAAAATAACAAAAGGGGCTTGAGGTATACAGCTCAATGCTCAAGAACATGTTTTGCTCTTGAAGACAACTGGTGTTCAGTTCCCAGCACCAATCCTGGGTGGTTCACAACTGCCTGTAACTCCAGATCCAGGGTATCTGACGCCCTCTCCCGGTCTCTGTTGGCACCTGCACACACATGCATCTTAGTCAAAGTGGGTTTCAGGCCATAGTGAGATGCTGTCTAAAAACAAAACAAAGCCCAATAGCTTAACTATTAGAAAGAGCTGGGGGCAGCAGAACTCTTACGATTTTTCTGTATTCAATTCCCAGTACTGGAAAAAAAAATAACCCCAGAATATTTGAATAGGCACGTGTGTTTAAAAAGAAAAAAGGCCTGGTCTCTCGTTTGGCCTCATAAATCATAAAATAATATATTACAGAATATATAATTAACTGCATTAATTATCTAATAATTAAAATAAAAGGCTAAATAAACAGTCATTAACAGGAATGGGTATACGGGAACCTCGGGTATGCTGTTAAAACAGGCGAAGATAAAAGCGATCCTATCTGGGGAGAAAAATGATAGTGCACCATAGGCACACAAAATTCCCTTTGTACCCCTCTAATGTCTTTAGATTCTAATAGACGGCTCACAATAGTCTCGTTCATACTCTCTGGCCTCTCCTCTCTCCTGATTCGAATGGCCAGCATCTTCATATCTCTTTGACTCTTCTCCCCGGGTAACCCACCAGCCCTCCAGTCCCCATTAGTTCCTGGCACCCAGCCCCAACACTTCCTCTTTGGTCCTAGTCCCTACCCGGGAGAGAGGAGGTGTCCTTTTACGAGTCCACCATCTCTTTCGAGCTCACCCAGATCCCAGAAAGGTGTGACAATCAGCTCTGAACCACCTAGCTCTTGCTCAAAATGCTCCAAGGCTCCTAGTTAGCCTCAGGCAACTTGGTTCTGAGCTTGGCCTTGCACACATTCAGAATTGCCGGCCCACTCACCCTAATCCTCCTTCGTGGCTCTTGGCCCCTAATCATACTGGACTGCTTTGTTACCTACTCCGCTATCACCCCGGTTCCTGCCTTTGGGCCTTTGCCTAAACTGTGCCCTTGGCCTGGACCTCCTTAAGGCTGCCCTCAACAATTCAGGTCTAACTTGTGGTTCTCCGAGGTCGCACCAGCAACCACGCCTTCTTGGCGGGTCTTCAGCTGACTGCTGTAGGGTGGGTTTCCATCCGACGCCCCACCCACCTCCTATCTCCTGAGTCTCGGGTCTCGACAACCCCCGGCCCCACCCCACCCCCGTCACACTCCATCACCCTGGAATGGGACACTCTGCGGCTAGGTCTGATTCTTTCATTAGACCGCGAGCTCAGTGTGCAAGGGTAGATATGGGGGTCTAATTCACCTTTGAGCTCCAGTGCTGGGAAGGGGAGAAACACTGCGCAGGAGAAGGGGGGGCGGTGGGCAGGGAGAGCCGAAAGGGGTGGGTGGGAATGCAGCCCCTGGTTGGGGAAGGTGCACAGAGGAGAGAGGAGAGGAAAGAGGGAAACACCCAGCTAGAAAGCCAGAAAAACAGAGAAAATGCAAGACCCGTCGCTAGCAAAAAGCAAAAAAAAAAAAAAAAAAGGTGAAGATACAGAGACAGGGAAGACAGACAGAAGGGAGAGCAGAAAAAAAGAATGATTGCCGGTGGTGGGGGTGGAGGAGAGGGAGGAGGCCGAGAGCCACGAAGGGAGGTGAGACGGAGGGAACCAAGGGGTTGAGAGCTGCAGAGACTGAGCGGGCACTAGCCGAGGAGGAGGAGGGAGGGAGGGAGCCTGCCTCCACTGCCTCCCGGCCTCTCTTTTGTCCCTTCCCTTCTCCCTGCGTCATGCTCCCCTAGCCCGGCCTCCCCTCCCGCTCCCTCCTCCGCCCCGCTCCTCCTCCCTAGGGCTGGATGGAATTTTTTCCCCTGGACCCGGGCCAGCTTCAGGGCAGGGGGGTGGGGAGGTGGGGGGGAAGCCTGGCCGGACTAGGCTGGGCGGTGGGGAGGGGCTGGGCAGGGGCCCCCCGGGGAGGGGGCCGATCCGAGGCCACGCTGCCTGAGGGGTCTAGGGCGGGGGGGGAGCCCGGGCGCGCAGTGCCGGGAGGAGGCACCGGCCTGGAGGCAGCAGGCGACCGGGGGCGGAGGATGGCGGGGCTGGCGGGAGGAAGGGTAGAGGCCGCGGGGCGGCAGAGGGAGAGGATGGAGAACCTGGGGCTGGAGGAGGACACTGGGTCCCCTCGACGCTGGAGCCGCGGAGCGGTGAGTCTGCGGAACCGGAGGGGGGATGGGACCTGGGCCGGACTCCAGGGTCCCCCCAGGGGAGGAGGCAGCCAGCCTGGAGGCCTGGATTTCTGGGTTCTGACTTGGATGGCAGAGGAGTGGTGGTGGTGGTTGTGATTGGGGGTAGGGGTGTGGGGGGGGGGATGAGCTGGTGGGAGTCCGCACTCCTCAGTCTGCGATGGAGGGGCCTGGAGGTCTGGATTCTGGGGTCCCCGGGTTACAGAAGCTGGGCGGGGGACGGGGGTAGAGAATCTCTTGAGATTCTAAAGGACGGTGTAGGAGTCCGGAGCGTAAGGGGCTGGGGACCAGATGCCAGAGACCGCCGGGAAGGTGGGAGAAGACTTGTCTGGCTTTCGAGGTGCCTCCGGCCGCCCAAGGGTTAACGTCTGGCTGGAAGGGAGGGGGAGGGGCAGAGATGGGGCTGCGGGGCTTTGCGGGGTCAAGGGTGAGCGGAGGGAGTGGGAGGGTGCCTGGAGGAGGGGGGAGGTTGTCTGGGCTGCCAGACGGGTCCGGGTCAGCGCCCGGGGCAAGGGATGTCTGGTCGTGGAGAGGCCCAGCGTCCAGGTTTCTCAGGGGACCCAGGATTCCAGGCCTCGGCCCCCCCTCCTCCCTCCAGAGTCCATCTTCCTGCCCCTTTTCCAGAATTCCACAACCCGAAACCCTGGCTGAGGTCTGCCCAGGACCCAGGAATCCGGGCCACCCAGCGGCTTCTCGCCTCTCACCCAGAGTCCACTCTCCCTCCTAGGCCATCCCCATCTCCTCCCCTCCATAACCTAAGAGTCGGGGCCTCAAAGCTTTTTTTTCTCCTTAGCTGCCAGGGCTGGGGGGAGATCGGTGTGGGGAGGGGGGCTCCTTACCCGGAACCACGAGACCTCCGCCCCTTCTTAGCCCCAGCTGGAGTTCAGCCCTCCAGGGGTTAAGGGGGCGGGGCCCGTTGGTTGCCATGGTGCCAGACTGTTTGGGTCTGCTCTCTGACCCTTGGGGGCTCCCTAGGGTCTGCAAAGAGGGGGAGGGGACCCAGGTCCTGGGAGAAAGTCCAGGGCCTGCCGGTTCCCCAAAGCAAGCCTGTGAACCCAAAGGGATATGCACCCACGCCTGGGGCAGTGACCTTGAACCAGTGCAGAACCTTCTCCGAGCCTCAGTTTACCCTCTGAGGAGAAATTTGCCGGGTGCGGGAGAGATGCTCCGGTCTGGACAATCTTTTAAGATTCTCGCTTCCCCGCTTCCCTCACCCCCCCCCCCCTCCTCAGGCCCCAGGCAGCCCCGGGGCATGCTGGGAACCCAGGCCTGGGCTCTGGGCCAGGTTGGTTGGGGGGGGGAGCCTCCTCCCTTCCCCTTCCTCCCCACCTTGGCCTGACTCTCGCCCCGCCTGAGGGTCTGGGAGGTTGGGAAGGAGGGAAAGGAGGCCTTGTGCTGGGGCCAGAGACCCGTCTCAGCCCCCACTCCACCCCGCCTCCCGCTCTGCTTCTCCGCCCCCTTCCCGCCTCTCCTCCCCCCCCCCCCCAGCAGGTCGCTACCCCGGCCCAGGGCCCCTTCTCGGCCCACCCCCACTCCACCCCCAGCTCCAGACCTGGCTCTGAGCAGCTAGGGGGAGGGAGGGAGAGAGGGAAGGAAAAAAAAGAGAGAGAGGATGGGGGAGGGGGAGGAAGGAGAGATCAGGAGACCTGGGAGAGGGAAGGAGAAAAGAGGGAGAGAGAGAGAAGGAGCTGGAAGATGAGAGGAGGGTGGAGGCTAGCCTGAATAAAAAGCGGGGAGGAAAAGAGGAGAGGGAGACAGGCATTCGGAGGAAGAGAGAAACTGAGAGACAAAGCCGGGGAGGGAGGGGGCGAAGGAAGACCGTGAAAAAGAGGGTGAATCTTGAGGGACAGATAGGGAAGACAGGCGGGCGAGGACGAAGAGAGGCGAATGTAGAGAGGGTGGGCCAGAACGGAGACGAGAGAGAGAGAGAGAGAGAGAGAGAGAGAGAGAGAGGATCCGGCATGCAGATATGGCAAGAGAGCCTAGACGGGAAAATACAAGCTGAGAAAGAAAGAGGGAGGAATGGGAAAGGGCGGAGAGAAAGAAACAAGATGGACATGGGACCTGGGAGCCCCGAGGACCAGTTCTGAGCTCAGAGACTCAGGGTGGGTGCAGATCCTAGGGCCCCTCCCACCTGCAGCCGGCTGACTTTGGACAAGTGGTTTCCTCTCTGGGGGCACAGGGGTGCAGGTAGCAGCCTCGTCCCCGAGTTGGGAGGAGTCTAGGAGACAGGGCCCTGGCTGGTGTCGTCACTCCTGGATTTTATAGCCGGCACCCTAAAGGTTGAGAGTGGGGGGAAAGGTAGAAGGGGAGGATTCTTCTGAGAGGCTCATGAGTATTCCTGATACCCAGGAGCCCTTAGCCATGCTCAGACCTGGGGTCTGAAACCTTGAGGGTTTTCAGGAGGGTGGTCAGATTACCAGGACAAATGAAGCCCCCTCCTTTCTGCACTCCAAAAGCCAGATCTCTTCCCCGACTGGGCCTCCTCTAAGGGAAATGCCTGGGGTGGGGATGAGGGGGGAGATTGACCCGTGAGTCTGTGTGAGTCTGAGGTAAGAGCTCTAGGGACTGGACCCCTGGGTCTGAGAGAGAACTGAGTCTCAGGGCTCATGGGTGTGGAGCACTGCATCTGACGGAGGAAGGGTTGGGACCTGAACCCCTGAGTCTGAGGTAGGAGGTCTGAAGCCAGTACCCCTGGGTCTGAGGAGGCCTGGGGTGTGGATTCCTGGCTTTGAAAGAGGGGGGACTGGGGCCTCGATTGTGGGAGAAGGGTTGGGACTGAATTCCTGGGTTCCTTGGGGAGGAGGGGGCCGGGGGCCCGGACTCCTGGGTCCTGGCACCCACCCGTAGAACCGACCTTGCGGGGCCTTCGCCGCACACAAGCTCGTGTCTGTGGGTCCGTGTCGGGGGCTCACCGTCGCGGCTGGGACCTCCCCGGCCCTCCCCACCCTCCCTACTTCTGGTCCCCCATCATTCCATCTGTCAATCTGCGCACCTGCCGCGCCCCCCGGGCTGAGGTAGGAGGTTGTATAGTTGAGGAAGACACCCGAGGAGATCACTATACGGCCTCCTAGCTTTCCCCAGGCTGCGCCCTGCACGGGAAGGGGCCAGCGGGGACTTCAGGTCCACACCACTGCCCCAGAGTTTCTGGGAGGAGCTGGGGTGCCTTCTCTGTGCACACCCTGTGCCCTAGCCATTTTCTTTGCAGTCTGTCTGCCATCAGATTCCCTTGTTTTCTGTCTGTCTCTTACCCCACACTGTCTTTGGGGTTCTCCACACTTCCATTTCTCTAGAGCTGTGAGTCTATCTCTGTGACATTGCGGGTCTCTGGGCCTCTGGATATCCAGGTTTCTCTGTCTTCTTTCCCTGGTTTCTGTCTTCTGGAGCTCAATGTATCTTTCTCATTTCCCTGCTCCCAACTCTGGGGGAAAGGGCTTTTCTGGTCCACCATAGCTACATTGCCGGCCTCTGGGTCCCTGAGACCCTTTAACCTGTGAGGACGTCCAGGGTCACAGGTGAGGTTCTTGGGAGCCTGGCGCCTGGCTCAGCCACAAATTTAGGGATTGCAGGTGACCCCTGACAACCTTCCTCTAGATGGAGCCTGATACTTGACAACCAGCTGAAAGACAATCTCTGATCTTAGGCCACAGCTCCCCCTCCCCCACAGTGACCTCACAAAGGTTGCTAGCTTCTCCTCAGACCCAGAGACCCTCTGCGATGGCCCTTGTTGCCCTAGTGGGTAGCACCATCCTGTTGTTTCTGCTGATCTTCAGGGCACCCACATGGGCATGTCTCTTCTGCTTCACCACCTATGAGGAACGCCTCCGTGTCTGCCAGATGTTTGCGGACACCGATGGCCCCAATCTGGGCCATTGTAAAGATGCATTCAAGGCTGCCTTTGAGGGTCTCTCAGATGTGGAAATCAGTGAGGAGACCCTCGTCCCCGAACCAGGGCCCTGGGGAGCGGCAGGGGAGACCTCGAGTGACTCCACCAAGAAAAGCTTGAGTACAGGATTGTGGCAGAGACACAGGGTAGAGAGACGGGTGGAAACAATGGAAGGGAATACATTCAGAAAGGGGTGGAGGCAGAGACTAGAGACAGTGCCTCAGAGAGAGGCTAAGGATGCTGAAGGCCTTGACAGAATTGCAAGAAAGAGATGAAAAGTAGAATGAGAAGGATCATTGCTTGGAGAGAGGAGGGTATGGACTGGAAACACAGATGAATGGGGCGATCGGAGACCTAGAGATCCAGGGAGAGACAGGTACCCAGAGACAGAAAGGCACAGAAACCTGAAGATAGAAAGACAGAGACCCAGAGTGAGGGAGAAAGGGACTGGTGTTGGGGGGGTGGCAGGGACCTAGACAGACAGTGATCCAGAGACATACGACAGAGACCGATGAGGTTGGAAGAGGATGAGAGAGGGTAACAGGTCCAGGGTGTTGTGACAGAGACAGAGGCCGAGAGGGGGTGGGGAGGGGGGGAGTTAGGGTTGGAGACTGAACAGAAAGAAAGAATTACCTCTCCAGAGAGGGCACAGAGACCCCGGGGTGGGGCTGGGGGATGGACTCTTTCAGCCATGAGTCAGACACAGCGAGTACACTGCTACAGGTATGTATCTTAGTTGCTTCCTCAGCCTGCTTCTCGTCCACCCTCAGACTATGATGAGAGGAGTCACCTGCATGACGCCTTTACACAGATGACCTTCTCCCTCCAGGAGGTGGCTGCAGCTCAGGGTGAGTGTTTTACAGAATTTGACTTCCACTCCCCTCCCACCCCTCTCCCCACTCCCCACTTCCTAGCCCTGGACTATGTGAAGGCCTAAAGAGATCCTCTGGTTGGAGGGAGGGATAATGGAAGCCTGTGTGAATTTGATGGGAAAGGTGCAGAAGCCAGCTGAGTCAAAGATGGTAAGAAACTGAGGGAGGTATAGGAGCCACAGAGTCTGAATTTCTGTGGGGTCAAGTCCATGGGACCTATCTGTGGTTCTCCCTGTTTGGTCTCTGAAGTCTGGGTGTGTCCCTGCCTCTCGCCTGGTCTCCACATACTCACCTAATAAAGTACAACGTTCTCGTCTCCTAGGGTGAGATGTTTCTTCTCCCAGTCAGAGCTCACTGGGAGGGAATGTTTCTTTTTGAGACAGGTATTAGGGAGGACATATTCCCTTAGCACAAGGCACACGTATATTTCTCATGGCTAACACAGATAGGTAGGAGCGGTGAAGGTAGCCATTCAGGGGACAGACATGGAGAGTCTCCTTGAGCCATTCGGGAAGAGCATGTCCTTGTAGCTGTGTGGAATGGACTTGAAGGCTCTGGGGACATGTAAGCACATGATTAACAGTATTCATACCAGGTCACGCCAACCACAGAGCACACAGGCTCCCACGCAGTAGTATGGATGGCAGCATGAGAACTCATTTTTGAGTAGGATAAATTGAGCACTCCCAGGATCTGGGACTCCAAGTCCAACCCCCCCCCCACACACACACACTCTTTTTTTTTTCATCTTCCGTGGTTCACTAAGTTTGATAGCAGAACCCCTCCAAACAAAGAAAGGGTCCATTCATCCAGGGGCTGTCCAGGACCATCATGGAAGAGGATTTTCTGTGTGTCCACAGTCCCAAAGAAAAGGTTGAGGAAGCTGAGAGATGGAAGGAATGCAAGATTCTGCTCTTCTCTGGGCTTGTCTCCGTTTTGGAAACTTGGAAAAAGCTACCAAGTGCAAGCCTGGGAGTAGAAGATGTGTCTAGTGTTCAGCAGACATGGGGGAGGGTGCAGGCTGGGTTAAAGAGGAGGTAGCCTGTGACATGGATCAGAGACCAGAGTGAAGAGGAGGGACTAGGAAGTAGAAAAGCGGGCCTGGGTCTGGTTTTTGGTGCCAGAGAAAGGAAAGAGGTGGGGTTATAGGAGTGTCTTCACCTGGGGTCTGGCTTCTTAGGAGTGACATCTGGGAAGATGGGGAGCACGGAGACTAGAACTGGACTGGGAACACAGATGGCTAGGGTAATTACACAATAACCACGAAGGGATACTGATGACATGCACAAGGCATCTACACAGCTGGACGTTGGAATCAGTCAGGGAGACTTACGACGATGTCCTGAGGAACCTGCAGAACCACAGAGTGATATAGGCAGGTTGGAGGAGCTTCTGCTCTGGGTGTATGTAGACAGACTTTCTGGGACCCCACAGAGGGAGAAAATGGAGACTGGGATAAACTGGACCAGTAAATTCCTCAGACGGAGGCTTATGGAATAGTCCAGAACCACCTGTGCGGTCAGAGCTGGGACCACAACTGCAAATGTCCCACCCTAGAGATGCTTGTACTAAAGGGCAGAGCACAGAGTAAACAGCCAATACAGTGTGAGGTTGATCAGAGTGTGGAGAGTCTGTGTAGAATGCACCAGTGAGGTTCTAGGGTTATAACTTGGTAATAGGGCTCTCACTTAGAAGCCAGCAGTGCAGGGCTGGTCCTGTGTCTGAGCTGTAGAGTATTTGCCTAGAGGTGCTATGTCTCCTGCACCGTCATTTATGCTAATTATTATCCTAAGGAAATTTCAGTTAACAGCCATGTGAGGTGGGGTTTCACAGCCCTACCTTCCGGGGAAAGTTAGCTCGGAGCTTGGCTTGAAAACATGTAGTCAGAATTTAGGACGATTGTGCATTGGGCGAGCCAGACTAGTGCTGTTTATTGGGGATCACACAGGTGATAATGTCTCTGTATACACAGCATAAGTTTAAAATGTGAGCATAGATTGCATATCCTCAGTTCAGTAATCTGAAATCTGAACTGTTTCTAAGCTGAATGTGGCTTGTTACTGTAACATCAGGGCGGGGCATGAAGCCTAGGGGTCAAGAGTGGAGAGCACCTTGGGCTACAGAGTGAAAAAAGTTGTAAAGGTTAGGGATGTAGCTCAGTTGGTAGAATGCTTGCCCGTTAAGCATGAAGTCATGGGTTTTATCCTCAGCCCCTAGTATGCTTCTTGGTTGCACACGTCTGTGAATCTCAGTGGAGGCAGGATGATCATCCTTGATTACATTGTGAGACCCTGACTAAAGGAAAATAAAGGCTCACACAATGGCAGTATTTGGGAGGCTAAGGCAGTGGAATGGAAGGAGCCTAGGTTACCCAGACTATTTCAAAACAGACAAAATAAAACTGATGAGTGAAGCCTTTTTCTTGTCAGCCGCTTTGGTTTTTCCCCACTAGTCGCCTGGGCTCTGCCATGTTGTAGTCCCAAAATAACACACAAGACGCTGTATTAATTATGAAGCTGTTGGCCTTGCTTGTTTCTTACTGGCTAGCTCTGACTTAAGTATTTACTCCATAATTGTTAATCTAAGTATTTCTCTTACCGGAGAAAAGGGTCTGGACTTCTTACCCCTATGGCAGCTACATGATGACTCCCTGTGTTTCTCCTACCCAGAGTCCTCCTGGACTCCTAGTCCCACCTATCTTGCTTCCTTATTGGCCAACAGTGCTTTATTGACATATACACAGGACTTCCCCATCATTTCCTCTTTTCTGTCTAACTAAAAAGCAAGGTTTTAACTTTAACATAGTCAAATTATATATAACAGAACAGCTATCAAGCACGAACACAGTTACACTATTTTGTCCATCAACATTTAGTGACATATGTGTTCTTTACCTGTGTGGATGTGTATATATGAAATGTTCCAAAATCCAAAGCCTTTTTGAGTGTCAACTTAGCTCCACATAATATCACATGACAGGTCACAGGTAAAACTCAGGCCCTATGAAATATGTGAACTCATCCTTCAGACTGTGTATAAAACATTACGAAACAAGTAAATTTCCAATTTTACTCCTTTATGTGTATGAGTGTTTGCATGTCTGTGCATCACGTTCATGCTTGGTTCACGAAGAGGCCAGAAAAGGATGTCAGATCCCTTGGAGTTGTAGTTACAGGTGGTTTTGAGTCACCATGTGGATATTGGCTGAGAACTGAACCCAGATCCTCTGCTAAAGAAGCAAGTACCCTTAACTGCTTAGCCGTATCTCCAGCCCCCGTTTTTTTGTCATGTGTATATGCCTATGAGTGTACTGGAGACTACTCTGGGCTATGTGATACCCTGTTTCAACAAACAAAAAGGGGGACAGAGCTAGAGAGAGATAGTTCAGTGGTTAAGAGTGTTTGCTGTGCAATCATGAGAACTACTGTTTGAGTCCCAGCACCAATGAAACAAGTGCTTATAACCCCAGGCCCAAATTAAATGAAGATGGGGTTTGATGGGGCTTGCTGGCTTCCAGCCTACCTGAGAACACATTAATTGGAACATCAGAGAGATTTGCCTCAGAGGAATAAATAGACAGGGTGACATATGAGGACACCTGATGTTGCATTGTGACTTCCGTAGGTATGAACAGACACACAGGTAAATATATCCTTTTTTTAAATGATGCATGAATGGTTAGATATGGAGGCCCAAGTTTACAAGTGACTGTGACCTTGACTTTTACTTTATCCTTTTTGTTTGCTTTGAGGGAAAGTCTCACTACATAGCTCAGGCTGGCCTTGATCTTATGATCTTCCTAGCTTGCCCAGAAGCCTGTGCCATCACATCCAGCTTCTCTATCGTCTTCATACCTCAGTTTCCCCATGTCAGATTAGCAAGGGGTGGTAGAAGATGACACTGTCGGCAGAAGGCCTCAGACTCAAGGTTCATGGACACTCCAGAGCAGGCCACAGAACAGCTGAGAATGGAAAGGTTTCCATCTCCCATAGCAATGAACTTTGTGGTAGACACTGCCACCGTTGCTGTTTTATGCATGGGGAAACTGAGGACAAGAGAACTGTCATCTGACCAAGCTTGCATATGGAGGCAGGCCTGTGATCTGTGGATAGATACACCTCAGGGTGAAACAGATGTCCTCATATCTGTACATGCCAGGACTCAATCCCACTGCCAGAGCTTCTAACACATGACCCTCACCAACTGCAGCACCCTTTATACCGTTATGGTTCAGTTGGCATAATCCATGTTCCATTTACCCTGTTTAAGATATTTCCCTTTACCCCGACCCCATGTGTACTTGATTAAACCTATCCCACCCCTGCCCACCTCACAAGTCTCTGTGGTGACTTGATGTGTCCCAGCCTCCTGAGTGTCATTGCTTCAGCTCCTAAATGTATCTTGGATGAGGCCACCAGACTCCATGCCTCTCAGTGAGGGCTCCACTCTGACCATGTCCTCCTTACAGGAGTACCATCTCTAGATCTCACACTCATGCTCTCATGGTTAAGAGAATGACCTCAGATTCTTCATTTTGAGGTAGCTTCTTGGCTGTGGTGCTTCTCTCTGTGTAGACAACAATGCACCATTCTTATTTAGCTAATACTTTTGATTCTTTGACAGTTTCATACACACATATATTCTGGTCATCACTCATTGCTGTGACAGAATACATGACAGTCACCTTGATGGGGAAAAGGTTTATTCTGGCTCACTGAGAGTCCAGTGGTTCTCAACCTGTGGGTCTTGACCTCTGTGGGACCCTTTCATGAGGGGTTGTCTAAGACCATTGGAAAACACAGAAGTTTACATTCCAATTCATAGCAGTAGCAAAACTACAATTATGAGATAGCAACAAAAATTATTTTATGGGTGGGGTCACCACAGCATGAGCAGCTCTATTAAAGGGTCCTTGCATTAGGAAGGTTGAGAACCACTGGTATATTGTGACAGGAAGTCACAGCAGGAACAAAAGGTGGTATACACAGTCGGGAAGCCAGAGAGATGAATGCTGGTCATTATCTTGTCCCTTTTTATCCACTCTGCTACCCCAGCCAGTGACAGAGGACCAGCTACACACAGGATGGGTCTTCCCACCCCACACCCCTCCACAGACCCAGAGGTTTGTTTCCATGTTGATTCTAAATCTAAGGAGCTCCCAAATGACATCATTTTAACATCTCTACAAATTGTCTCCAAATACTGTGGTGTTCTTCCATACTGCATTGGGGATTAGGATTTCACACATGAATGGAGTGGAGGTGGGCACTGTCACAGCCATTTCCTCCAGAAGTCCTGCCTACCTTGTTGCTGGTCTCTGGAGCGTTCCACTTCATGATCTGGAGGGTTCTATGGTGGTAAGAATGAAGGACTCAGAACTAAAAGAGAGGAGGGAAAAATGAATGGTGGTTGGGTCTGGGGAGGAGGGCTGGGAAGTTCTCTATTTAAAGGGAGTGGGACAGGAGTCATTGAACCCATGCTAATGACTGCCTATGGTACTGTGGCCTATGTTTTATAGCTTTGGACGTGTTTTTTTTTTTTAAATGCTAAGCTCTGGGCAGTGGTGAACCACACCTTTAATGCCAGCACTGAAGGGGCAGAGGCAGGCGGACCTCTTGAGTGTGGGGCCAGCCTGGTCTACAAAGTGAGCTAAAGAATAGCCAGGACTACACAGTGAAAATCCTGTCTTAAAAAAAAAAAAAGATGCTAAGCATTTTTGTGACCTCAGGTTTGTGTGTTGGCAATCAATTCATTTAGTTATTTATTTTTTCTTTTGGTTTCCCAGACAGGGTTTCTCTGTGTAACAGCCCTGGGTGTCCTGGAACTTGTTCTGTAGACCAGGCTGGCCTTGAACTGCAGAGATCTGCCTGCCTCTGCTTCCTGAGTGCTGGGATCAAAGGCATGCTCCACCATCGCCCGGCTTCATTTGGTTATTCTTTAAGATTTATTTTGTTTTTAATTATATGGGGGGCAGTGTTGGTACATGTGAGTGCAGGAGCCTTTGAAGGCCCAAAGCATCAGATACCAGATGCAGATGCCCTGAAGTTGGGGATACAGATGATCGGGAAACCCTTGACATGCATGCTGGGTCTTCTGTAAGACATTGGCTTAATTGCAGAGCCATCTCTTCAGCCTCCTCCCCATTTTTTTTTAAGAGATATCAAGACTTTTGTTTTTGAGACAGGGATTCTCTGTGTAGTCTCGGCTGCCCTGGAACTCACTTTGTAGACCAGGCTGGCTTTGATTGAACTCTTAGAGATCATCCTGCCTCTACCTCCCAATTTCAGGAATTAAAGGCATGCAAAACCATCTCCCAACCGAGATATCAAACTTTTGTATAACTGCCCCAGGGTTATATATTGTCAGCCTGTTGTCATATAGAAAATGTAACAAGCCAGCAGTGGTGGTGCACACCTTATTCCCAACACTTGGAAGACAGAGGCCGATGGATCTTCAAGTTCAAGGCCTACCTGGTTTCTAAAGTGAGTTCTAGGATAGCCAGGGCTACAGAGAAACCCTGTCTCCAAAACAGAACAAAACAAAAACAAAGAAAAAAATAGGAAAGAAGAGAAAAAAGAAACACTTTTCCTGTCTGGTTTTTATCACATCCCGGTGATGCATTTGGACCTCAGGCCACTCACTGCTGGTGACCTACAGTTCCTGCTGGACTCTAAAATTCATGGGCATATACTTACTGGGTGGTTTTGTAGGACTCAGGGCCCTTTTGTGGGTTCTGAGGGTGCTGTATTCAAGAGGGGGAAGCTTGGGGAACATTGAGAAGAGAGGGTGGAAAGATTGTCAAGAATCAGAGGTTTGCAGGAGACTCGATAAAGGGGAGTGTTCTGGACATGATAGAACCAGCATACTCCTGAGTTCACAGCAGCGGTCGTTTACCTGCACAAGATCTAGTTGGTCTACATTCCAGTGCTGCAGGAGAGGGGCTCACAAGCCTCCACCCCAAAAGGAGGTGCTACTGATAGGAGGAGGGGAGAACCCTGATGGGATGGTAGGTTCACTGTGCTTCAGTGGCTAGTCAGCACGATTGGACTGAGGGAGTTATTATACTTGCAAAAAACAGAAGACGTGAAGAGGCTTAGGAGGAGTAGGAAATGTATGGATCTGGAAAAGGGGAGGGGAGAAATATAATCAAAATACATTGCATGCGTGCACAGATGAAATCCTCAACAAAAAAGAAACATTAATTAAAAGCATACGAAAAAGGAGTTGGGTGTGGTGTGTGCCTTTAATCCCACCACTGGAGAGGCAGAAGCAGGCAGATCTCTTGAGTTCAAGCTGTATATGGGCTACATAGAGAAGTCCCAGCCAGCCTGGAACATAGTGAGTGAGCCACTGTCTTAAAACAAAACAAAATGACAAAAAGATGGACTTAAGCTGTTATCATGTGCAGTTTACATGCTCAGCTTCTAATTTGCATATGTGTAATTGCAAACCAGTGAAGCCTAGGTACACTGAGGAAGATAAAAGTGGGGAACTGCCAGGCGTTGGTGGCACATGCCTTTAATCCCAGCACTTGGGAGGCAGAGGCAGGCAGATCTCTGTGAGTTCGAGGCCAGCCTGGTCTACAAGAGCTAGTTCCAGGACAGCCTCCAAAGCCACAGAGAAACCCTGTCTCCAAAAACCCAAAAAAAAAAAAAAGTGGGGAACTTTAGTATAGATTTGGGGTAATCGGACCCCTTGCAATGACGCATGAGGTGGTGAGAGACGTAGGGCAAAAGCTGTCTATAGGCTAATGAAGGGTGAAAGTGGACAAGAGGGCTGCAACAGAAAACAAACAGCCTAGTAAGCCCTGCAGAAGGCTTGATCATTGTCCGCCCCTTTCCACTGAGATGTAAGTGTATAGTGCTCTCAGGAGGCAGAAGGAGCACCTTGAAGAAGTCTGCCAGGGGCTGGAGAGATGGCTCAGAGGTTAAGAGCACTGCCTGCTCTTCTGGAGGACCTGAGTTCCCAGCAACCACATGGTGGCTCACAACCATCTATAATGAGATCTGGTGCCTTCTGATATGCAGGCAGATCATTGTATACATAATAAGTAAATCTCTTTTAAAAAAAAGTCTGCCAGCCCTCGCTTTGGACCTGTGGGAGGCAGGAATGTAGCTTATTGGACAGACAGCAGGTCCTGACTATTCAGCCATAGGGTAAGGGCGCTTTGTAGTGCAACTTCCCTACCTCCATCTTCCAGGGTCCTTTAAGGCCGCCTTCCCCAGTGCAGCAGCAAAAATGAAGAGTTTCATAAAACAGCTTAAAAAAGGTAAACCGGCCTCCAGCTCCACCCCCTGCAGACACACAGATATTTACACCCTGAATCCAACCTAAACCTCGGGGCCAGTAGATTTCCTAGCCCAGGACAGATCATGTGACAGTCTGTCTGCTTCTGGCCCTGCGATCAAAGGCATCCTCTGAAATCCCGTGCTTCTTTAACTGGGCCTACTAGTGAGGTGCTGACTCCTTGAAGGACTGCCTGAGATCTACTCCCATCCACCCCGCCCCCCCCATTTAGCTTTTCATAATTAGCTAGCTACAGGCCTTAAACCTGACACACTTGGCCTTGCTGCACCCCCTGGATGAAGCGCTGTGAACCCAGCCCTGTCCCTTAGAGACAATGTGCTCTGTTCTCCAAAGGAGAGGGGCTTTAGGTAGGTCTCTGTCAACTTCCTGGGTCCTAATGCCTCCTTTCTCTCCACAGCCCAGGCCTGCGTCCCTCCTTGTGGTAAGGACTTAGTCCCAAACTTGAGGCAGTGGAAGCTGGGGTTGAAACATGGAACTTGGGATGGAAAAGATGAGTGGGCCTTAGATCCAATAGAAGCCAACTGGAAAGTGCATAAATTAGATAGTGGGTAACTTGATGGAAGCAGGCAGGCCCTGCAGGTGAAGGCCTGTCACCCTAGCTACTCCAGAAGCCTGGGCAGGAAGATCACACATCCTTGGCCCCATAGAGTTCTAGGCCATGCCGGGCAATTTAGGGGGAACCCTGTTTCAAAACAAAATCTAAAAAGAATTCTGAAGTTACAACTCAGCAATGGAGCACTTGTCTAGAATCTCCGGGTCAGGGACTGGGGAGTGGCTCAATGGTAGATGCCCGGCCTAGACTCTTCCAAAGGGACTGGGGGCGTGCCTCTGGTAAGGAGCTTGGCTAGCATGCATAAACTCGTAGGTTCCATTTCCAGTGGCTATCACTTGCGCGCGCGGAGTATACGTTGTAGAAAACTGGCTTTACAAGCCAGGAGGTGATCCAGCCGCCGACTGGACAGGGTTATCTAAACAGTGTAGAAAAGACAGAATCCTTGGAGCCCCCATAGATTCAACAGTGTCCGGAGAATTGGTCTGGAGACGCTCCTGGTCTCGGCTCACAGGCGTCCAGGAGGTCACTAGGCGTTTCTACTGCTGGGGTTGCTTTTCCGCCATCTGCGACCTCCCTCTAGACTGTCCAGGTGAGGGGGCGGCGCTGGGGGAGGGGCGGGGCCTGTGCAGGCCTACCAGAAGAATCACCTTGCCTCTCTCCAGTCCAGGATGTGACGGTGAAGCGAGGGGATCAGGCTTTGTTTTCTTGTATCGTGGGCTTCCAGTTGCCAGAATCGGAGATCACTTATTCCTGGAAATACGCGGGAGGAGGTGTGAGTCGGGACAGGGCCAGCTGGAGGGCTTTCAGGAGCCGGTTCTGCTCCCGGGAAGGGTTAGGCTAAGTTCAGGCTAGGAGGGGTTGGGTTTAGTGCCAGAGGAGGGTCGGGAACCTAGGGAAAGATTGAAGTTAAATGTGTGGAAGACAGTGCTTGAATGTGCATTGTGACTCAGGCGCAAAGGGATGTCGGAAAGGGTTGCTTAGGGCTGCTCAAAAGAGTCAGAGGCTTGCAGCCGAGTCAGGGCTTGGGGAAGGGGCGTGCACTGGGCGGGGTTTGCTGCTCTGGCTGAGTCCCTGTGTATTTTGAGCTCCTCAGCCTCACCCCAGCCATCTCGTAGATCCGTACTCAGGACGTGTCCTACTTCCGTAATGTGCCAGGAGCCCACGGGTACCTGGCGCGGATCCGGCCAGTGCAACCCACGCATCGCGGGACGTTCTCCTGCGTGATTCTGCACGACCAGCGCCCCCTGGCTCGGCTCTACTTCTATCTGAACGGTGCGGGAGGGGCGAGGCTGTGAGGCGGGGCCGAGGGCGGGGCTCCGCCCTCTGACGTGCGCGCGCCCCGACAGTGACGGGTCCTCCTCCGCCTGGGGAGACTGAGCTCCAGGTCACGTTCCGGGAAGTGATGCGTTGGACGCCGTGGGAGGCGGAAGTGATCGAGCCCTGGAGGCCCAGCCTAAGCGAGCTGCTTGCCAGGCCCCGGGCTCTGACGCTTGGCAACCTGTTCCTGCTCGCCGCAGCCGCTGCACTCTTGTCTGCTAGTGCCACTGTGCTAGTGTGGTGAGTGCCAGCTTCCAGCCTCCCCTCCCCCAGCTCCTTTTGTCCACGCCGCAGGTCCCCCGGACCCGACCCCGGCAGTCCAGACAGCCTCCTCCCTCTCTCCTACCCAGGTCTTCTCTCAGACCTAGGGGTCCAGGCCCTAGATTGCCTTCCTCAGACTCCAATCCTCCTTCAGACCTAGCATAGCCCCCACCCTCTAAGACCTAGGAGGCCTAACCGTTTTATTTTTTTGTCAGATCCAAGAGTGGAAGTCCTAGCTCTCCTTGCTCGAGCTGAGAAATCCAGGCCTCTGTCCTTATGTCTCATAACCTAATATTGGTCCCGACACCAGGCCTCCGTGCAGACTCAGGTCTAGGTTCTCCTTGCACTTTGAAACCCAAATGTGTTTCTGTCCCTGGGCCCTCCTACAGCACACACTCCCTTTTTTTTTCCCCAGGGTGTTTTTTCGATGGTATGTAAGTGGCAACTAACAAGAGTGTCTGCCCTGATTTCACATGCGATCTTGAAATAAAGAATATATTTCGGTTAGTTCTGGATTCTCTGTCTTTCTCTCTCTCTCTCTCTTGGACGAGGTCACTGCTCACTTAGGGAGGAGGACCCATAGACTACCCCGCAAATGTTTAGTAAGTGTATGGACCCATGGTGACAGGACACAAGCTATCAGGTTAGGGGCTCTTTGTTGAAGCCGTAGAGCACCAACTCAGACCCTTCTCTGTTCTCTATCAGATTCCTTGACATTTCCATCTGTAGAAAATACCCTTAGAGTACTATATGGTACTCCTCCCCCCCCCACCAAAAAAAAACCCACGTTCTTCCCCAAGGCTTTCTCCCTTTCAGAAATAGCACCTAATAGCCTTCAGGCAGTTCAGTGCAGAAACCATTGGGCCTACACCCTTAGCCCCTCACTAGAGCGTTCTAGGCTCTACCCCAGCCACTCACTAGAATATTTTAGATAGGACTCTACCACTAAGTTACACCCCATCCCCTGCCATTAGGCAGTAGCTCTACCAGTGGTCCACACCTCCAGCCCCTTATGGTGAATTCTAGACAGGCATTGTACATGTGAGCTACTTGCCTTGCTATGTATGGGTGGGGTAGGGTACATTTGTATGCATGCATGTGTGTGTAGAGGCCAGAGGTCAGCCTCAAGTGACATTCCTCAGACACCTTCTGAGGAGTGTTTTGGTGACAGGGTTTCTCAATGGCTAGGACTTCCCTGATTAGGCTAGCTGGCCAGCAAGCCCCAAAGGATCAACAAGTCACCGGTGGGTCCTAAAGTTACAACAGAATGCTTTTTTATACCCGGGTTCTGGGAATGGACTCAGACCCCTACTAGTTTCCAATCTAGTATTTTTAAGTGTGTCACAGTGGGTTACTTCTCTGCCCTAAACCCATCAATGGTTTCTCTTCTCACTGGAATCAAATCTAATTCCTTGTTAAAACTTCCAAAACTACACATATTCTGGCCCTTATTGGTTGCTATGGTAAAGCGTGATGGGGGGCTTGGGTGGGGGACCTTGGCACATTCCATAGCAAGTGAAGATGACGGGGGTGGGGGGCACGACAAACATGCCGGGCAGACAGAGCTTAGTGAGAAGTTTTATTAGGAAGGGGATGTCCCTCGCTACCGTCTCGCCAGCAAGAACGACGCAGAACACTCGGATCCTTCTGCAGTAAAGCTTTAATGCATCTTGAGAGATAGATGATCAGCTTCTTAGAGGGAGACCCCAAGCTAAGAAACCCAGCCCCTTATATAAGCCTAGGAGCTCCGAGTGAGATGTGTAGAGCCGGGATTGGTGGTTTGCACATCACCCCAGATGACGTCACGGGAGAGGCACAGTTTAAACGGTTAACTCCAACTGACAGCGACAGTTAACTCCAACTGACAGCGACAGTTAACTCCAACTGACAGCGACAGTTAACTCCAACTGACAGCGACAGTTAACTCCAACTGACAGCGACAGTTAACTCCAACTGACAGCAGATGTCAGCGCCATCTTCTAACGGCAATAGCGATAGCGAGGGCGGCTCCTCACATCTCCCCCTATTCATTTATTTTTGAAGCAATAGGACACCCACAACTTTGGAGTGGAGATAGAGGTCAAATCCCCATGTGCAAATTCGGAACATGTACAAAGCTCCTCTCCAGGGTCTTATCCCCAGAGGAAGTCCTGACCAGTCCGATGTCTTTTTTCTGGGGGAAGGAGATCATGACATAGAACCTTCATGCAAGATGACTTATCTCCCAGGAGAAAGTCGTTATACCGCAGACCTCTCCTGTGCAGTGCTTAGCCTTGCAACTCCTTGGGCTGCTGAAGCCTACCCACTCTATCCCGTGCAATGAGACTAGCCTCGTGGGGTGCAAGAGCTGGGAGGCCAGCGACCTATTGCTTTAACATGGTTAACCAAATGTCAGGGGATGCTCCGTGTTCTAAGGCAGCAAGTGCTTGTGCCACCACCACTTTCTCCTTTTGTTTGGGCTCTGAGCGTACACACCATCCAAAGCATCAACACTATTCCACAGCAGAGAACTAGGCTAAATGATCCTACCCCCACCCATTCCTTAAAATAAGAAAATGCAGATGAAATCCAGGGGGAGAGGTCTTCCATCAGAGAAAGATCCAGATGCGTCGAATTCACTTGCAGGATCGCCATTCTCAACTCACGGAGTGTCTGCTCAAACTCAAAAGTCCAATTCTGTAATAAATGTTGAGACAGAGCTTTTGACAGGTTAGCTGCTCTTGTAAAATTCTCATATTGTACTAAGTGACACAAAGGCCAGGCAACTTTGTTCACATCCCAATTTGGCCATCTGCCACAATATATCCAATTGTTCCTGAACCAAATTAATCTGTTGGTTTACCAACATCAGGCCTCCTTGTATCTGAGAATTGGCAGTGGCCTGTTTATCTAGGACCATGGTCACAGTGGCCTATAGTTCATTAATGGTTTGAGTTGTCTGCACAGTGGCAGAAAGTGCAAGGGCCGAGGCGGTAACCGAAGCAGTAACCGCGGCGGTGGCTATCAGGCCCACAATAATAGCAGAGATCCCAAAAATCTCGCTTTTCCCTAAACAAACTCAAATTACTTGGCGCCTCAACAGGAGCTGGAATAAATCGAGGCATGCGCATTACCAAAGCAAAAGGGTGCTTAATAGCATCCCAGCATAATGCATAAAAACAATTCTAAGCAGAGCAATTTATTTCTTTCTGATTCTTACCTAAGGTATCATTACTCACAACCCAAATAAAGGGCAGCTGAATAATTAGTTCTCTTAAAAGGGGTATACTTAACATTGGAGGAGGACCAATCAGATGATCCAGAGCTCTGTCCCTCACTCAGACTGTTGCCTAATGCCCCTTTCCAATCAAAAGTAATCTGTCCCTTCTCACTATCATAGGAGAAAGATCAGTACAGCTTCCATTAATTCAAAAGGATTAGCATTAGATCTTTCTGGATCCATATGAATAAAATTATCCTTTAATGAAGAAATCACAGTAAAGCACAAGCTTCCTACTAATGACAAGGTTCTCTCATCCTGAAAACTCTGTATCTGAGGATCTAAAGGCAAAAAGGCAAGCCCCAACTCTCTATTATTTGTGAAAAATCTAGGGAACACCTGGGCATTCTGCATCACTGGCATCGGTAGGGGAAGGTAGACATGATGGCCCACCGTAACTCTCCCATCATACTAGGAACCATCATCCCGAGTAGGAGAGTCTTCATCACCCACTTGGCCTCCATCCTTCTTATTCTGGAGTTGTGAAGGAGCTCTTCGAGTGAGTCTTTCAGGGATCCACAGGGGGTTTTCTTCCTCCTGTGGAAAAACACACACAGCTCCCCTGGATCTTATAAGAATAGGATCCGGGCCTTTCCAGAGATCAGTCAAGACATCTTTCCATTTTACCATTTCTTTTGGCCTATCAGGCTCTAAACTGTGGCGATCAGCCGCAGTGTGGCCTTGGGCATCACAGTTCAAGAAATTAAGGGTAAAAAGTGCCATGGATACAGCAACTCTTGGTACCGAGGGTAGAACATCCTCAATACTCCCCTTTTGTTTAATCAGATATGATTTGAGTGTACGATGGGCACGTTCCACAATGCCCTGTCCTTGAGGGTTATAAGGTAGGCCAGTTAGATGGGTAACATCCATTTGCCGACAAAACTGTCGGAATTTTTGAGAGGTATATGCTGGTCCATTGTCTGTTTTTAAAATTCTGGGTTTTCCCCAAGCACTCCAGGCCTCAAGGCAATGTTGAATCACATATGAGGCCTTTTCCCCTGTTAGGGGTGTGGCAAACATTACGCCAGAACAGGTGTCAACAGAAACATGAACATATTGAAGCCTTCCAAAAGAGGGAATATGAGTAACATCCATCTGCCACATCTGCAATGGTCTAATGCCACGTGGGTTTATTCCCATGTGGGGAGTAGGTAAGAATTCGCAGCAATTCTGGCATTGAGTAACAATTTCCCTAGCCTCTTTCCTGGATAGAGCAAAACGACGGCGCAAGGTCTCAGCCGTCACATGAAAGCGCTTATGGAATTCTTTTGCTGCTTGTGCATGGGTAGACAAGGCAGCGGCCACCAGCTTTGTAGCCTTGTCCGCTAAGTCATTCCCTAAGGACATGGGACCTGGGAGTCCAGAATGTGCTCGGACATGGGTAATGAAAACAGGAAATCTCCTATTTAACAAGGCAGCTTGTATCTTTTGAAAGATGTTAGCAACTCTGCTGGAGGATCTTATTATTCCAGCTATCTCAAGGAGATTAACTGCATTAACCACATAAGAGGAATCTGATACAATATTGAGGGGTCCTGGAAAAGCCTCAAGAACCTCCAGTACTATCAGACATTCTACAACTTGAGGTGAAGTTTCATTATATTGTTTAGATATAACCCTATCCTTGACCACATAAGCTCCCATACCAGTTTTTGATCCATCAGTGTACACCACAGTCCCATCTGGGAGTGGGTCTTTAGCTGTCACTTGTGGAAACACTATAGCCTGGTTTAGGGCAAACTGTAAAATTGGATGCTTTGGAAAATGATTATCAATTTGTCCTGAAAAGGAAGTAACTAAAACTGCCCAATCACTAGATGTGGCTGCCAAGGTCTGAACTTGTGCAGCAGTATAAGGCACAATCAAGGAATCAGGATCCCTGCCAAAATGTGTAACAGCTGCTTTTATTCCGCGAAGCGCAGGCTGTGCAACAGCATCAGGGTACCAGTCAATAATCTTAGCAGGGGAAGCATTTGGATGAATCCAAAGTAATGGTCCATGTTGCCACAGGACTGCAGTTGGCAATTGAGCTGTCTTAAAAACACACAGATTAAAAGGTAGTGACTCCTCAATACGTTGTAATTGTGCTTCCTGTAAGGCCTCTTCCACCATCTGTAAGGCTCGGTGGGCGGCAGGGGTAAATTTTCTGGGTGAGGAGATATGAGGCTCACCCTCCAGGAGATCGAAGAGGGGTTTTAGATCAGCAGATGGAATTTTTAAAAAGGGCCTCAACCAATTTATATCT